ATACTTCAGTACAGAGCCCAGAGACTGACCAGCCCACCTAGGAGAACCAGGATTGTTGGGACATATTGTGAGGGGTGTCCAGCGCGTACATTTACCGTTCATAAATCCTGTCAGTTACCACATTTGGAGTTGTAACACTACATTTTACTGAAAGGGTGGACATGACCAGCAATTGTACATGAGACGGCACGCCAGCTGCACGTACCTCGAGTCGTGTGACTCCCGGTACTGCATACAGCGTGCGCGCGAACTCGGGTACAGTATCGCGTCCAACAAGCTACAGCAAGTGCCCCCCCGTATTGCTCGCAATACTTCGCCAGTGCCGCGCGACTCTCGCCGAAACCACCTGCGCGCTGGCAACACACATTGCGCATGTGCGAAAAAGCTAACCCTACTGTTCACGAGGGAACCGGTTACCTCGGTTTCCAGGCTGTTTTCGCACTGTTGATCTTTGTGTGGGTGGAAATGTGTCCGCGCGCTGGAAATTCCAGAAACTGTGGACTCGGCTCAGTTGGCATTCGTTTTGAGGTACAGTGATCAGTCTTGAAACCTGAGACGTGTGTGCGCTCTAAAAATCCCGAAATGAACGCGCTGGACACGCCCTGAGCAGGCAATCTGAAGAATCGAGGGCTGGAGTTAACGACTCGCAACCGCACCTAATCCCTCCTGAATGTTCTACAGCCTACGAGAACGCGTCCAACCTGATCCTCGTCATTTGTTGCTCATGTCAGTGGATAAACTTGACCATTTCTTCTTCGCTCGCTGTTACAAGTTTGCTAAGTACCATCAAAGTCTACACCTCCATTTGCAGCTCGTCACTGCATATGCGTGTGCTGTTCCCTATTTAGCTATGGAGATGTGCAGCAGAACGAGCTTAGCTTAAATGAAGACATCTGTGAGACATTATTGTGAAAGATATTCTCCCAAAGAACAATACTTTCCACCTAGATGGATAGACACTCACAAATGGGTAATCTTCTTCAGAATAACCAACAAACCATACCAAATCACGTGTAATAAAAGCAGAAACAAAAGCGAAATGCAACCCACACAGCACAAAGAGCAGCTCCAGCCCACCATTCCTAATCAGACTGTCATCTCTAGCTCTAAATGCATCCCATAGTCACCACCTTTCTTCAACCCATCCTTCAACTGTCTCTTCCCCATGTTCCCCCCCTCCACCACACGGCCATTCCAGCAAAAAAAGGCTGGACTGATGATCCCCACCTCAATCTAGTCATCCCATCATTATCATCATTGTCCCCGCGTCCTCCCCTCCTCCCTCCCTGCCTGCCCGCAACCGCTCCCATTGCAGTTTCCAGAACCAGACCCACTTCCGTTGCAGTTCCCACCTCCCCCACCGCCTCCCCCTCATCCCCGCGCCAGCCCCCCTTCCCTGCACCTGCGCCAGTGCGTCCAGCCGCCTCCCTGCGCCCCGCCCCTCCGCTCATGCGCCCGCTCCGCCTGCACGTCCACCACCACCACCTACCACCACCACCCACGCCTGCACCTGCGCCCTGCGCCACGGACCGCGGCCCTGCTGCTGCCCCGACCCCTGCCCGACCAGCACCGCTGCCGCTGCCATTGCCAGTGCACCCGCCAGATCGGGAGCACTGGAGGAACCAGAGCTGGAGCCTGGAGCCGTCGCGGGTGCGCCGGTCGCTGGTCGCGGTCCTGGTCGCCAGACCATCCCTCTTGCGATCCTCTCCCGGTTATCCGCCACCACGTACCCCGCGCTCTGAATGCTCGCTGCCGCCGCGTTTCTCCCCGACCCTCCGCCTCCGCCTCCGCCGTTGCACGAGCCAGACCCGCCGCTGCAGTTTCCGCCGCCCTTCTTGCCCTGCCGCACCTTCCCCGCGCTGTTGCTGCCGCCCAGCCGCCCGCTACGACCCGAACCCGTCACCAGCGCCAGCGCCGCTCCCCGTTCGTCCCGCTCCGCCTCCGCGCCCCGCCCCGCGCCGCCGCCCGCCCTGCGGCCGGCCGCCAGTATTCTGTCTTCCGCCGGGAAGCGCTGCCGCGCCAGCCGCGGACTTGCTGCAGGAGCCGTCGCCGATCGCGGTCCCGTCGCGATCCTGGTCGCGGTTGCCGGAGCCGTCCCGCTTGCCGACTCGCGATTCGGACGGTCTGTCGTCGTCGTCGTCGTCGGCGACGGCGAAAGTCGCGAGGTTGACGACGACGAGCAGGAGGATCCGAGGGCGAGAAGCTTCGACGAAGCATCGGTATTCTCAGATGTCCACGGAGGGTAGTGGTATTCTCAGTATATGTAGTAGTGGACACGACAGGCCTACGATAGACGCTGAAAAGAGTTAACCTGCTATGAGACGTGAGTTTTAGAACGGGCTTGGATTTGGTCTAAACGATGCTGAGAAACCCGAGAATGGACTCGGGATTTATAGTAGTAGCATTTGGGTGGGAATGGTTTCGGGACTGTGCCGCGGCGATCATTACCGGGCTGGGCCGCGGTGGTTCGCCGGGGCTGTCATGTGGGTTGTTTCGCCCCGCGCCCCTGGTTTTCCGCCGAGTGCGCATCCTTACTGGACAGGCGGGCGACACTGGGCCGATGGAGGCGCGAACCTTATCCGTCGAGTTGAACCAACGCGCGCCGCGCTGGAAAGCACACGCGACGGGGCGCAGCGCAACACATGAAACAGAACGCGCAAACACACATGCCGCGGCGGAACGTGACGTGGCGAGGCGAGGCGACGTCCAGACCTTGCACGCGCAGCCAAGGCGGAACTCGAGCGAGCCCCCCTCCATCCGCACCGCACCCGGCCCCTCGGCGGAGGCGGCCTGTGGGCTAAGCGCTCCGCGAGAGAGCGACTGAGGGCTTGCGCGAGTATGCGCGGTGGGGGGGGAAATGAAAAGGGAGTCTCCGGCGCTCGGAATTTTCGTCGGAAGCGACGGGTGGAATGGCCCGTCCCCCGACGAGCCGCAACACGCATGTTGAGTTCCACCCAGCTGGCTGGCCGCTACTGTACTACCTCAGTACTGTCCCTGCCAAACAAACCCCAGACGAACTCACTCACCGCCTCTCTCCTTCCCAGTCCGCGCTGGCATACAACTGCCAATGGCCAGGTCGGTCCGTCGCGCAACGAAAGCTGTCGGAGGAGTGAGCTGTCAGCTGCCTTGCCCGGCGGTTATCCCCCTGGCAGTGGCTGGTAACCAAACAGCATCTGGTGCTATCATAACAGAGGCTTGCTGGCGCACCATGATAGAATCTTTTTACGACACCACCCGCTCTAAGTGCGCGCTGAGCTGGCGCGCAAGATCCCGGCTAGCAGTGCTGCTGACTGCGACGCGACGCTGGCTGCACGGTCGTACAAGCTACGATCGTTTCTGGCGAAGGCTCGCACTCTCAAGTCTACTCTATCCCGTTTTCCCTCGAAGCAGCAGGAGGTGTGTGTGAGGCTTCCGACGAAAGAACTAATTAGCTTGCTTCAACGTAATTGGAACAGCTAGAAGTGTGGTGTAATTGTAACAGTGAGTGGAGCTAGTAGACATACACTAGCCAATATGAAGATATGTTAATTTTTAATATTTCATTACAACGCTAGCACTATCAATTTCAATCATAATTATCTTCACACATGCGTGAATGGGAGAATAATGCAATCCTAGTTACCATCATTTACCCCGTATTCTTAACACTGTATATCACGCTGTTATTAACATGGATCATCCAACATGAATATAGTGAAGAAATTAAACAGGCTTGTAACTTATTCTTTATTCAATAGGTATCGTTTTTTAAGAAGCAATATCTTTTTACCTACACCCAGCCCACGTTAGGTTGCCTCACTGAGCGCAGTTTCCTACGAAGCACCCTTCAGCAAAAAGCCTCAAGTTTCCAGCGAGGATCGTCTTTCGCGAACAGCAACACACGCTCGCGACGAGCACCATGACCAGCGGCAACGTTCGCTAGCTGCAAGACTGCAAGAGGAGGAGCCTTCGCTAGAATATACCATTCTGTTGACGAAGGGAAGAGGAGTTAGCTGAGAGGTCTAGTTACTTTTTCTGGCTTTGGCGCGTGCAACTCGAGGCTGGGGGGTTGTATTCTAAAGCTATTTCCAGCGTAACCTCTTTCCGCGCAGCGCCTATTCCCCCCCCCCTCGCGCCCCTTCCCCCCTTCGCCACAGTCTCCCTGATGCGGCATCGTTAGCTCAGAAGTGTGCGGGAGTGCGCCCCGGAGCAGGTTCGCGACTCGGCGTCGGCCGTCGACGTCATATGAAATGGCCTTGTACTAAAAATATTATCTCGTCCCGTCCAACTCCCTCATCATCCAGAAGCGTATCATTCCACCAAAGTCTCACACAAAAATCAGCCAAATTGCAACCCACTGTGACACAGCTTCCCCGGACATTGACGGCCATCGTTAGATCCTACCGTCTATCTCCGACAACTTTAACGACGACCGTTACTTGGCCACTTCAGAGCCGTCCATTGGAGCTAGTTGGCATCGTCTTTACCAAGTTAAGCTTATTACCATAGTACTTTATTACAATAAATTCATCCCTCTTTTCCGGCAATAGTACACCGATCGATGGCTTCGTCGAAGCTTCTCGCCCTCGGGATCGTCCTTGCTCCTCATCAACCTCGCGACCTTCGCCGTCGCCGACGCGACGACGGACGACCGCCCGAAGCGCGAGAGGGGAGCGCAAGAGGGACGGCTCGGGCAACGCGACTAGGATCGCGACAGGGACCGCGACCGCGACGGCTCCTGCGGCGATTCGGCTGCTGCACCGACAGCGCCAGCGGCAGCGGAGGCGGCGCCGGGTTGCCGGCGGCAAGCAGAAAGCTGGCGCCGACCGGTAGGGCATGGCGGCGGCGGGGGAAGCGGCGATGGTGCGGAATGCGGGTCGTGGTGGGCCGGCTGGGCGGGCAGCAACAGCGGTGGGGAAGGTGCGGCAGGGCAAGAAGGGCGGTGGAAACTGCAAGTGGCGGGTCCGGCTCGTGCAACGGCCGGGGCGGAGGCGGAGGGTCGGGGAGAATCGCGGCGGCGGTGAGCATTCACAGTGCCATGCAGGGCGGTGGCATGCAGAGCGCGGGGTACGTGGTGGCGGACAACCGGGAGAGGGATCGCAAGAGGGATGGGTCTGGTGACCAGGACCACGATCACGACCGCAAGCGCGACGGCTCTCCGGCTCCAGCTCGGGTTCCTTCCAGTGCTCCCGATTTGGCGGGTTGCACAGGCAATGGCAGCGGCAGCGGTGCTGGTCGGCAGGGGTCGGGGCAGCAGCAAGGCCGTGGGCGTGGCGCAGGCGCAGGTGCAGGCGTGGGTGGTGGTGTTGGTGGTGGTGGTGGTGGTGGTGGTGGTGGAGGACGTGCAGGCGGAGCGGGCGGCATGAGCGGAGGGGCGGGGGGTAGCAGGGAGCGGCGGGACGCATGGGTGCAGGCGCAGGGAAGGGTTGCTGGCGCGGGGTTGAGGGGGAGCCCGGTGGGGGAGGCGGAAACTGCAACGGAAGTGGGTCTTGGTCTGGAAACTGCAATGGGAGTGGTGCGGGCAGGAAGGGACGGAGGTTGGGAGGACGTGGGGGACCAAGTGACGATAATGACGGTGATGACTAGATTGCGTTGGTGGCCTTTGGAGTGATTCTAAGTGCCTGACAGGGATGGCTGTTTGGTGGTGGGGGACCTTGGAGAAGATTCAGCAGCATTTTGGAGCTGGAAGGAAGGGAGTGCTGTGGTGCAGGAATGGAATGCCGGAGTAGTGGCTGTGTGGAGTGGGGGTAACTCTGGAAAGAGATACGGTAGGTGATGGTCAGTGTGATATGATATGACATGATATGGTATCAGGTGACTTGTTGGAATGGTGGGGTGGAGTGGGAAAGGAAGTATTCAATAGTGGTAGTTGGCTGGCAGCCTCACTGGTTGCAATAGGTGGACTGAAAGGAACGAAGCTTACTGGTCCGGTGGTTGCTTAGTGCCGTGTGTGAATTGAATCATACCGTATCATGTGCTTGTCTCGGCTTGCCCCTACTAATATCAACCGTTTGTTGAGGCCTGGATTCGCTGCTCAGGGTAGGGGGGCCTATTATATGGTGGTATACAGTATCTGCCTTAATATGTACTAGTACGGTACAATAAGAGGACAGAAATATCTAGATGGTTTTCCACTCGCACTTTTAGGCCCATTGGGGGACGAAGAAACCCCATCGCTTTCTGGTAGGTGGTTGTTGTTGCCTATCAACGCTTGGTGGCGGGTGACAGGGTGCTGTGCTGGGAGAAAGCAGTTTTGGTGGTGTAGGGACGGGACGGGACGAGACGTCTCAAAACAAATATTTTCTCACGTGGGGGGTGGGTGGGATGGGACATGGATTTCAGCCCGCCTTTCATGCATATTTCAGCCCGCATACGGTATCTGAGAAAGGAGAAGCGCCATCGCTTTCTGGGAGGTGGTAGGTGGGTTCTTGCAGTTGGGTGGTGGGGGCCAGGGAGAAGGGGGTTTCGGCGGGGGAGGTGGGGGGACGGGTTTCATAGGAGGTGGTTAAAAAAGGGGTTTCACGGGGTTGGGAGGGAAAGAATTCAGCCTGCCAGTCTGGCTCATCTCTGGGAGAAAGAGCGCCATCGCCTCTTGGGAGGTGGTGGGTACTTGCGCTTGGGTGGGGGGGGGGCTGGGAGGAGGAGGTTTTGGTGGTGGGGGGCTGGGCTTTCTAGGTGGGCTGGGAGGAGGTTTCAGAGGTACGGGAGGTGGTTTGGGGGGAGGGAATGGAGGGGGCTTGGGGGGAGGAGAGGGAGGGGGTCTTGGTGGGGGAGAACTTGTGAGTGATTTCAGTGGTGGGGGCTTGGGGGTGGTCTAGGGGGAGGGGAGGGTGGAGGCTTAGGGGGAGGGGAGGGCGGAGGCCTAGGGGGAGGGGAGGGCGGAGGCCTAGGGGGAGGGGAGGGCGGAGGCTTAGGGGGAGGGGAGGGAGGGGGCTTACTAGTGGTTGAAGTCTTGGGAGGGGGGAAGGAGGGCGAGGGGGAGGGCGTGGGGGAGGGGAAGGAGGAGGGGGGTGGCTTGGGGGGATTCGGCGGAGGTCGGGGTGGGGGAGATGGGGGCCCAGGGGACTTGGGGGGGCCAGGGGGAGGTGAGGGTTTTGGGGGAGGCCGTGGGGGGCTTGGAGGGGGACGGGGGGGTGGGCGAGGGGGAGGGGAAGGGGAAGGGTTTGGGAGGGAGGGAGGGGGGAGGCATGACAGCCTGGAAGCAGGGGGGGAGGTGGGGAAGGAGAGGGTCTGATCGAAGTAGGAGAAGAAGAGAGTGTAGGAGGGAGAGGGGACAAAGTCGAGAATCTGAGTGGTGTCAGCAGCAGAAGCAGCAGGAGGGGAGGAAGCAGGAGCGGAGGCAGGGGCCAGCAGTGGTGGTAGTGGGAGCAGTGGGGGAGGAGGAGAAGGAGGACCAGGTGTTGAAGGGCATGGGCAGCTGAGAGCCGTTGGATCGGAGAGCAGCGGTGGTGAGATTCCAGCAGTGCGACGGCAGCTGCGATGCAAATGACATGTGCGCCCACCCCCCTGCTGCCGCTGGCGCGAGGGCAGACCTGCAGGATCAGAAAACAAGCAGGAGGGGGCAAGGAGTTGAGAAGGCAGGTAAGGAGGCAGAAGTGAGACAAAGGACATGTGGGTCCCAACCTCCTACTACCACAGTTGCTGGAGGGAGGGCGGACCCGGAAGCATGGCAAGGAGCAAGGCAGGTTGAGTGGATGAGACTTTTCACACGTTTTTCACATTGTTGATCCTATTGCTCAAGCGTTAATTTCACGCTCTGCTGCCCTTCTAATATGAGTCAAGAAGACCCTTGGGAAGGCACATCTGGAAGCATGGCAAGGAGCAGGGCAGGTTGAGTGGATGAGACTTTTCACACGTTTTTCACATTGTTGATCCTATTGCTCAAGCGTTAATTCACGCTCTGCTGCCCTTCTAATATTAGTCAAGAAGACCCTTGGGATGGCACATCTGGAAGCATGGCAAGGAGCAGGGCAGGTTGAGTGGATGAGAGGCTTCTGAAGCTGGGAAATCTAAATCGGGAGTTTCCGACTCGAGGAAAGTGGTTTAATTTCCTTAACAACTGCTCACGTGGCGCAGGTCGCAACAGCACCATGCGCTCATGGTTCCCTAGCTCACGTGGCAGATGTGCGACGCGAAGAACGTGATCTGTGCCGCGGACCGAGCGCCACGCTCGTTTCGGAAACTTGGTGAGAAAATTGCTTCCGCACTCCGCCCTTGCTTGTTCCGACCTTGCTCGGTCCGGCCTTGCCCGTCCGCCCTTCCTCCTCGTTTCGCCCTTCCTCATCCCATCATGCGTTTTCCCCTCATCCCATCATCCATTTCCCCTCATCCCATCATCCATTTCCCCTCATCCCATTAGAGACTTTTTCACACATTTTTCACATTAGAAACTTCTCCTTGTGTGAAACCTTGTGCTGTTTCCCTCCGTGTACTTGCAGAGCTTCCACGGTGTGTCACTGCTGCCCAAGAGCATGAAGCTTCCTGCATCGCACCAGGAAGCTCCCTGCTCCGCCCGTTTTCCTCGTTTCCGCAATTTTTCCTCGTTCCGCCCCTTTTCCTTGTTCCACCCTTTTTCCTCGTTCCACCCTTTTTCCTCGTTCTGCCCTTCTTGCTCATTCCGCGCTTCCCCCCTCGTTCCGCACTTCTTGCTCATTCTGCGCTCCCCCCCTCGTTTTGCCCTCCGTGCTCATTCCGCACATCCCCCTCGTTCCGCCCTTACTCCGCATTCTGCGCTCCCCCCTCATTCCGCCCAATCCTCCTCATTCCACCCAATCCTCCTCATTCCGCCCTTCCTCCTCATTCCGCCCTTCCTCCTCATTCCGCCTTTCCTCCTCATTCCGCCTTTCCTCCTCATTCCGCCCTTCCTACTCATTTTCTGTTTTCCCTCACTCACCCGGTTTTTTGTTTTCCCCCACTCACCTCATTTTCCCCATTGTTCATCCCACTCACTTCACATCCCCCACTGTCCATCTTACTGTTTCCCCATCCCTCAATGTTCACCCCACTGTTTCCCCGTCCCCCCACTGCTCATCCTACTGTTTCCCCATCCCCCACTGTTTCTCCATGCCCCACTGTTTCCCCATCCCCCACTGTTTCCCCATGCCCTACTATTTCCCCATGACCCACTATTTCCCCATCACCCACTATTCATCCTACTGTTTCCCCACGCCACTATGCACCCCACTGTTTCCCCATGCCCCACTGCTCATCCTACTGTTTTCCCATGCCCCACTGTTTCTCCATGCCCCACTGTTTCCCCATCTGTAGAAAATCAGGCCTATGTGCACAATGTGCACAAGGAGAAGCTGCTTCTGAAATGTTGAAAAGGGTCTACAAACAGAAAGTTAACTAAAGTGATGAATACAAGCAAAACAAAAGCTAAAATAGGCAGGAAAGTGAAGAGAGCTACCTTGGAGGCGACTTGGGTTGGTCCAGGAGATGAATTTGGTACCCAAGGGACTTAGTGTGGCTAAATGGGTGCTCAAGTCACCCACAGTCAAGATGGGGACGTGAGGGACCCTCAAAGTGGGCTTGGAAGCGCCCCCTTGAGTGGAACCGCGATTCCACGAATTGGAAACGCGAATTCCAAGCTAGAGCCGCGTTTTCGATGTTGAAATTCGCTGGTCCAGGCTGGAGCCGCGTCCCCAAGGTTGGGAAACGTGTTGGGGTGCCCTAAAGCCGAATTTGGGGTGCCTAGCACTTGATAAAGTCACTCAGGGGGCACCCTATAGCTAATATAACCCAACCCCTATTGTGGGAAGGATGTGGAAGAAGAGGTAAGGAGGGTGCAGCAATGAAAGGTCCGGGGTCGGCATCGGAGGTGTGAAGGACAAATGTGAGAAGCTCCGATTTCAGTTTTTCGTACCAACAGCGAGGAGCCTGCTTGAGGCCGTACAAGGGCTTGTGCAGGAGGCAAACTTGAGGAGAGCCGTTGGCAGGAAGGAGTTCAAAACCGGGTGGCTGGGTCATGTAAATAATCTCGTCAAGGTTGCCATTGAGAAAGGCATTGGAGATGTCGAGTTGATGCATCTCAAGATCAAGGGCAGCAGCATGGGTGAGGAGCAAGCGAAGTGTAGCAAAGCGAATGGTGGGTGCAAATGTCTCAGTGTAGTCAATGCCCTCACTTTGCGTGAAATCTTTAATCACCGAACGGGCTTTATAATGCTCGATGGATCCATCCAGGTTCTCTTTGACCTTGAAAGCCCATTTGTAAGGGGTAGGAGTGCAGTCGGGCGGTTTGGGCACAATGCTGTAAGTGTGGTTGGCCAGGAGTGCAGTAATTTCAGCGTTAGCAGCAGCAAGCCATTGGGGAGCAGCGGGGCAAGAGCGGGCAGCAGTAATTGTAGGTGGCTCGTAGTGGGAATGAAGAGCAATGTAGGCAAAGTCATGAAAAAAATGGGCTGACTCGCAATCTTCGTCAAGGATGGTGTTAATAGAGGGGTCAGAGAAGTTGAGCTGAAAGTCTTGGGCAGTCGGGGTTGGAAGAGGAGGAAATAGAAGAGGTGAGGAAGTGGGTGTGGAGGCTGGCTTCTGAAGGGAAGTGGGAAGGGTGAAAGGCTGGAAAGGAGGGGTGGGGAGTGTGGGAAAGAGAGGTGTAGACGGAGTAGCAGAGGGAGAGGTTTTTGCATGTGTAGCAGGCAGTGGAGGAGGATTGATAGGGTCTGGTGACGAGGTAGGTTGGGAAGGCGGGTGAAGTGACAAAGTGACAGGTGCGGGAGTAGGGGGTGATGGTAGAGGTGGTGGTGGGTGAAGAGGAGTTGAGGGGGAGGTTTCAAGGAATGTGACATCCCGAGAGTAGACAACCAAGCGGATGGAGGGGATATAAGCACGATATGCTTTCTATCCATCAAGAAGACCATAGCCGAGGAAGATGCCGGGAGCACTGCAGTCATGTAACTTGGATTCTCGATAAAGAGTAGGTAGAAGCATGGAGACAGGGCATCCAAACGCGCGAAAATGGGTGACGTCCGGCCGCTGACCTGTCCATAATTCCACAGGCGTGACATCGCGAGGGATTGAGCGGGAAGGAGAGTGATTGCGAATATATATAGAAGTAAGGGCTACTTCTCCCCACCACCCACCGAGGAAGACCGCTGTCATATAACATGCACCGCACTATGTCAAGGATGGTGCGATTCATCCGCTCGGCGACACCATTTTGTTGCGGAGTGTATGGTGTAGAGACTCGTTGGGTGATGCCACGCGAAGCGAGGAAAGCCTGAAAAGCGTCAGAAAGATATTCCGGGGCGCCATCGGAGTACAAGACCTTGAGATGTGTCTTGCAGTGGCTTTCGGCTTGGGCGAGATAGCGCTGAAATGTGCTAAAGACTTCAGAGAGGGATTTGAGAAGGTAGACGGTGGTATAGCGGCTGTAATTGTCAATGAATGTGAGGACATAGGTGGCGCCGCCAAACCTGGTGCCGATGGGAAATGGTCCAGCGACATCAGTGTGAACCAGGTCAAGTGGGGCTGAGCTAGACGAGGTAGAGTTTGGAAATGGCTGGCGGGTCTGCTTCCCACGAAGGCATGAAATGCAGGTGGAAGGTAGGGAACCGTTGAGGCTGATGCCGCTGACCATCTGTTTGGAATAAAGCTGCTGCAAGCTGTGTCCGTTGAGATGTCCAAAGCGCCGATGCCAAAGAAGAGATGAAGCTGCAGAACAGGATGCGGGAACAAGAGGAGGAGGTGCTGGTGCAGTTGAGACCGTGGCCGGCTGCGAGCTGAGGCAGGGCTGAGAGAAACGAAGAGCAACTTCATGTGCTCATGGGCGACAGCAAGAACCGTGGAGCCTCGGAACACTTGGGAAGGAGCTTGAAGAGGGAAGTGGGTAGTGAGTCATTCGTCTTTCAGCTTACGAATAGAGATGATATTATGAACAGTCTGGGGAATGTATAGGACATCCCTCAGGGTGATAGGATGGGTATGATTGTTGTGACGGGCGTAGACAAGAATTTCCCCAATGCCTTGGGCAGTGTACTGCTCCCCACCGCCAAACTGGACGCCATTACCCGGAAATGGTTGACAGAGGGAGGAAAATAGACGAGGATCATTACAGAGATGCGAGGATGCGCCGGATTCAAGGAGCCAGGAGGAGGAAGAAGGAGAGCTGGTGAGGACGGAGGCGAGAGGCCGCTGGAGCAGGATGGAGAAAAAGAAGAGAAGAAAGGAGATGAGGAGTAGTAGCGATGGGAGGGACGACAGCTAAGAGGTAGGGAGTAAGTGCGCGGCGGCAACATCGGCATAACGAGAATCAATCGAAGATGACAGTGGCGTGGATGACAAATGAGAAGCCGCGAGTGCTGGTGAGGTAACGTCAGAGGTAGGAGAGGGAAGGAGAGGCTGGGCCAGGTGGGCAGGATATGCCAGAGGTGGGAGGGCGGTGTGTGCATCTACCTTGTTGGTCGAGCTTTGAGCGAGGGAA